GCCGCCACCTCGGGCGCCACCTGAGGGAGCTGCCGCCGTGGGACCCAAGCAGACCGGACCCGACCTCGCCGCCCGAGACAGCTTGAGGCCCAGCAGCTGCCTGCGGAGGCGCCGAGCAACTTCGGTGAGTGAGGGGCCGGCGCCGCTGGTGGCGGGTCCCTGGCTTCCGGTGCCCCGGGCTTCTCTGGGGCTTCCGCTTCTGCGAGGGGACCGCCTCCAGTGCGTGGACCCCCTTGTCTGCGGAGACACGCTTCTCTGAGGGAACCCCCCCACTTCTGAGGGGGATTCCGCTTCTCCGAGGGATCCCCTCCAAGGGGTCCCCTCCTGTCAGGGACCCCGCCTCTATGAGAGACCCTACTTTTCTGAGGGTCCTCGCCTCTCTGGCAGGCCCTCTCCTTTTCTGAGGGAAGTCCCCTTCTCTGATGGACCCTCCACTTTTCCGAGGGACCTCACCTCTCCGAGGGACCTCATCTCTGTGAGGGCCACCCCCCAAACCCTCTGGAAGCGTGGGACCCCCTGTCTCCCTAGAAATCCCCTACTTCCCTGAGGGACCCCACTTCTCTCTGGAGACACTCCAGCTTCTAGGGGACCCTCTCCTTCACTTCTCTAGGGTACCCCCACCTATCTGAGGCGACCTCCCTGCCTTTTCAGGGACCCCCCACATTCTCTAAGGATATCCCAGCTTCTCTGAGGTGCTGTCCCACTTTTCTGGTGTGTTCTCCTTTTGCCCTTGCTGTTCTAAGGTGTCTCCTACTTTTCATAGGTCCCTTTTCCCCCTTTCTGAGATGCTTTCCCTGCTTTTCTGCCCCCACTTATTTGGATGACCTCCTCCCAAATGTCCCTCAGTTAATCTAAGGTGTTCCTGTTTCTGTCAGAAGCTTCTTTCTAGGAGGTGTTTTCCACTTTCCGAGCTCTCTCTGCTTTTGATGAGACATCCTTCTTTTTGATAAGTGCCTACACTTTCCTGAGGCCCCCCCACTACTCTGAAATGCCCATATGTCTGACTGGATCCTTAGTTTTTTGAGGAAAAGTTCTTCATTTTTCCAAAGTATTTTCCATTTCTTTTGGGTTTCCTACTAATCTATGCATGCTGCAATGTTTGGAGGGGTCCCTGGCTTCTCCAGAGGTTCTCCCCCTAACATGAGATGTTCCACTCCTATGGGCTCTCAACATCTCTGAAGTGTGCCTCTACTTTTCCAAGATATCCCCTCTCCTGATGGGAAACATAGTGGATTTCTTCACTTCTCTGAGGAGTCCCCTTGCATTAAGAGGGGTTTCCCTCCCTCTTGCCTGAGGACATGTCGCTTTTCTTGATGTTTTCCTCCTGATTCTCTAAGTGAGAAACTTTTCCCTCATTTCTCCTTAAAACAAGGAAACTTCAAGTTTTCCTTATTTCTCCTCCATTCTGGAAGGAGAGACCAAAAATGGGTCACACCTTCAGTCTTTCTTGCCAGATTGAATGTCTTCTCTTAACTTTTATCTCAGCTTCCTGGGACCTGGAGGATTTTGTGGCTGGAAGGAAAATTGAGAGATAGGCAAACAAACAAACAAGCAAAAACCCCACAAACCCACACCAAAAAAGCAGTTTTCTCTTGTCTTTTAAGACCTGCTAGATTTGGGGGAGCAAGAGCTGTTGCCAGATGACCACCTTGCTTACTTTGTTTTTTAAGTCATGGGGCCACCACTGTGTTGTCAGGCCAGTATAGAGGGAGGAGGGACAGAGCTGGAACATTGTCTGCCCATTATCACACTGTCAAGCTGTGGGACTGATCTACTTCCTGTCCCATGCCTTGGTCTTCCCTCTGCATAGAGTAACTTTGCAAAGAAGAACCCCCCCCCCCCCCCCCCGCCAAAAAAAAAAGGGTGGGGGAAGAAAAAACACTCCTTCAGGTCTTTCTGCTGCATTTTCTCTCCCTAGGCCCTCTGATTTACTCCTTGATCTCTAGAGGCTCCTCAGTTTGTGGGCCACTCTGGTTTGAAAGGCAGGGCAAGAAGCAGGAAATGGGTCACCTTAGGTCCAGGAAGGGTGGAAGGGAGGCAGGAGAAAGGGGGGGTTGACTTTATTTCTCTAAGTTTTAGGTGATTTCAGCCTGGCCCAAAGGAAGTTTTTACTTGGCTTTTGCAAATCTTGTGTACTTTTTTTTAATGGCCTACCCTGGATTCCAAGTTCACTCCAGCAGCTAATTTTATCTGCTTTGCCGAATGCAGAGCTCTCTGATGCCCAAATAGATGAATGCTGGCATTGAGAGATGGTCCAAAGGACAGGAATGAACTCAGTTTGAAACCTGAGTAACTTGTAACCACTTTGTGTCCATGCACTAAGTTTCAGGCTAAAAACGTGGAGAAGAGGTTTCTGAAGTGGAGTTCTGATATATAGGCTGAACTGTTTGGTTTAGTGTTTCAACGAGTTCTTCCCTCTGACTACTAAAACTTCAGTTCACTTTACAGTTTGACTTTAGGCTCTCTCTCTTCTGTTCATTTCCATCTGGGTCTTGCTTAATTTGAGTCCTTTGTGAAGACTCCTGCGAGGCTATAATTTGAGTTCTAAATCTGTCGGTGGACCATGTGGACACAAGTTTCAACTCGAGCTATTTTCTTCTGTGTAGAAGTGCTTGGAGAGTTTCCTGGGCCCTCTGCTCCTAGGGTAGTCAAGTCCAGGCAAGAAGTTGCTACAGACCTAGTTGCTCTCCTACTGCCTCTTTCTGGTCAGCTATAGGCACTGCCCTGAAGGGCAGAGGAAAGATGATGGGAAGCTCAGGGCTTAAGGTGTCCCAAGATAGGGCAGAAAAGTGCTGGCACATATCTATTATTTAAATGAAACCCACAAGACCAGCAAGGTAGGGTGTTAGAAAGGGAAGGGGGAGCTTTGAAGTCATAAGGACTTGATTCAGATTCTGGGTCTGTCTTTCCTAGTTGTGTGGCCTTGTACAAGTTATGGCACATTACTAAATATTAGAGGGGTCACATCTCTGTAAATGCGTGTGAAGGTGCTTACAGATAGGAAGTGCTTCTTACATATATGAATGAATGAATCAGATAATGAACAGGAGGTGGCCAGCACAGTGCCTAGCACATAGTTGATGTGTGGTAAAGGTTGGTTGTTGTGTTCAGATTAGGGTTCTGGCCTTCACTCACAGACCAGAAGCACTTGACATTCTGCCAAGGCTAAATATGCCCGAAGAGAAAGAAACTTGGTGTCTCTTACAAAGCCCACTGCCCTCCTGGGTCTCATAGCATTTTTTTTGTGTTAGATAGCAGATATGGGATGGATTTGCTGTGTGGCAGGCATTTGTGTTTGCCTTAGCCTTGACTTCTCTCTCTGTAAAATAGGGTAATTTATGAGTTAAGGGCAAGTAGGGAGATGTATTATTATAATTAGACCACAGGCAAGATAGAAGATTATAATAAACTTGAATTGTGGGAAGAAAATAAGAGGAGAACCATAAATCTAAAGGGTCATGTCTATATTTTGGGACTGCTTGAGTGAGTGATGTGTAGCAGTTACCTGGGGAATGATCTCTTACGTAGTAGAACCTTGAAAGAAGAACTGTTTTTTTAGGGTAATGGATCAGATTTGGGGACAAAAGACTGGGAAAGTGATGTACAAAGGCATTTGACGCCAGACAATAATAGTATATTGAGACGGCCAGTGCGTGGCTTAATGCCCATGAGGAGATCAGAATTCACCTTGAGCTCCCAGGATAGAGCTGTGGAGATGCTAACTCTGCCTCAGGGTGGGCAGGACAGTTTTTTTTCTTTCTTTCTTTCTTTCTTTCTTTCTTTCTTTCTTTCTTTCTTTCTTTCTTTCTTTCTTTCTTTCTTTCTTTCTTTCTTTCTTTCTTTCTTTCTTTCTTTCTCTCTCTCTCTCTCTCTCTCTCTCTCTCTCTCTCTCTCTTTTTCTTTCCTTCTTTCCTTTTCTTTTTTCTTTTCTCTTTTCTTCTTCTTTTTTTTTTTTTTTGAGAGGATTCTTTATCAATTAGTGAAAGCCCTACAATCAGAGCCATGAGTTGGGCCCAGCCTTTTTCACTTACTATTGTGAAGACAGGTGGCGTTTACTGCTTACAGCTAAAACCTAGTGGGTAATAATGGGTGAAGAAAATCTGAGCTAGACCTTAACTAAGCTGCTCCCAAGTTTGAAGTAAAGGGTTCTCCTCCCCACCCTTGAAATATCCTTACTCTTCCCTTTGTCTCCCTCTTCTTCCTCCTCCTCCTCCTCCGCCTCCTCCTCCTCCTTTCTCTCTCTCTTCTTTCTCTCGCTAACACACACACACACAAAGGTGACTTTACTATTGAGGTCAAGAACTACACCAACCAATATTAAGTTTCTCCTTATTCTTTTAAGGATAGTTATTCCATTATATGAGAAAAGTGCAAAGTTTATTATTTTTAATATATAAAAACAACTTTAAAGGGATCATTATGCCTTTTGAAATTATGCTGTTTCTCTTGTGTGCCATAGACTTCACTCTGGTAGATGGTGGCGCCACTACCAAGTCTCTTTTATCTAACAGGAAGTTTTTTAAACTTTTTTTTTAATTGAAAGATCTTTATAGCACTAAAAACCCTTGGATAGTTAGAAATGATATTGATCTAGGTACATTTATTAGATGTAATGTAACATGGTTATCCGTTGGTGGGCAGCTCTAAAAGGCGTGTGGGTCCCAGCACTGCCCAGCTTCTAACCCTGGACGATAAACTGTTGATTTATATAACTGAAATAGCTAGGGAAGTCAGGGTTTCCTTCCTGTTAGAGACAGCACAGGGGGCATTAAATCCCTGTGGGATCTTGAGGATAAGAAGTTGACCTCTTTTGGAATTGAGAAATAACTACTGTATGGAGTTGTTCCATCGAAATGAATGGATGTTGTTATTTTTAATTTCTAGTGTTAAGTTTGGCTTTATCTTTTGCAGCCTGACTGCCTTTGTTTATACTGGAGCATCGTTTTAATACAAATTTATTCCTCCAAATTGGCCTATCAGGGACGTTCAAACTCTCACGTAAGGGCTTTACTTACCATAGGTTTTCCTATGTGGCCATAAGGTGTGTTTCTTTCTTTCTTTTTTTTTTTAAGTGCAACTTAAATTGGATTGAAAAATAGAAAGTGTTAAGTTTTCTGGCTCATATAACTTCCTATGCCAGCAAATTACTCAGCAATGTTTGTGTGCCTACTATGTGCCAGGTGTATCATGCTGGATGCTGGGGGCCTAGCAATGAGCAGTATAGAAGCAGTAGGCCTTCAAGGAGCTTACATACCAGTTGCAGACAAGTAAACAAAAAAATGAAAGAATATCACAGGGCTTCTTTGGGACTATCCCTGGATGTTGGGAGTTTGGGGTGGAGTTTCTTGGAGCTTTAGAAGTGAAACCTCACAACCCTTCTCATTTCCTCACTGGACTCCTTGCTTCTGTTTCCTCTCTCTAAAAGGAGGCAGAAATTATGGCATTTTCCTGATTGATCGTTGGCTGTTGGCACTAGTTGACCCATGATGACTGTGGCTGTAATTTTGGAGAAACGAGAGAGTCTGAGATGGTCGCTGCCGGGAGGATTTTCAGCTTTGCTTCTCTTGAAGTTGATAGCAGTGTGTTTTTTGGAATCCTGTGGCATTTCTTCATGGCAGTACATATTATGCAGAGGTAAACAGTTCTGAAAGCCCTTCTTGCCTAGCTTAAAATCTTTAAAAAAATTCAGGCAAGGGGAGTGGTTGGCTGTTGTTTATGGCATAGGAAAAATGACATTTCAAATAGATAGCCTGTTTTGTCATTTATTGGTAAGTTCTTGGTGAACAGAGTTCCCTCTGTCCTATGGTTCCCTCTAACACTGGGTTTGTGTTATTTTGACTTTCTTATGTTGTGGCCAAGATTTGATGTTAGTCCATATAGGTCAGTTATATGGCAGGTGCTTTTCTTCAGTAAGTGTATTGGTGAGGGAGCCAAAGAGCTGGGCGGGGGAATACTCACTCAGGGAACAGGTTCCAGGGAAGAGGGAGGGTATTATAAGGAAAATTTCTGGTTACTCTGTCTTCTTTTTATTTCCTTCCACCTAAGTACTGACTCTGGAGGTAAAGAGGCAGGCCCGGGCCGGAAGTGGGCATGAATAAGTAATGCAACTGTACGTGTGAACGGGCTCCCACCTCTGGGCTCTGCTGTCCTTGGGAAGTGGATGCTTGCTCCTTCCTCGCTTCCTGTTCCCCCACCCTCCAGGCTGAGTTCTTGGGCCCCATTTTGAGCATAGAAAACACATTCAGGTTTTCACTTTTTCCTTGGAAAGTTGCTTTGTCAGTGTTGGGAGCTACCAGAGAACCTGCATTTGGCAGTTCTGGGATCTCAGCTAATGTACCCACAAACTTGGTACTCTGGCAGAGAGGCCAACAGGATGATTTCCTTTTGCATTACCACAGTGTTCCCTGCAGAGGAGCTTGCCAGTAGAGGGATCTCCGGAGATGTGCATAGAACTTAAAGAAGCAGACAGCAGATAGGTCTTTCTGCAAGAGTGTGCTCTTGAAGAATGGTTTGCTGTTATTTGTCTTCATTGCTTTATAAAAGTACCATGGGAGGCCCTATGTACAGTAGAAACTTTAGAGGCAGAGAGCCTTCGTTTTGTATCCACATTTCACTACTTGCTGGCTCTGTGACCTCAGGAAAGTGGCCTAGCTGCAAGTAGCCTCAGCTCTTTGAGCCTCAGTTTCCTCATTTGTGGGGTAGGGATGGTAAGCATCATCGACCAGATTGTTGTAGGTGCCTCATAAAAGAGTTGTAATAGAATCGGATCAAGGCTTACTGTTTCTCTCAAGGTTGATACCCAGGTTTAGACAGCTACCTGTGGCAGTAAATACTGCCCAAGAGCAGACCAGTTCACATTGAGGCCATAGGCTGCTGTGCATGACCAAGGGCCGGTGATCTAGAGGTTCCTGGGTTGGCTGATTTTTCCCAGTGAGTTCCTGCAGTTCATTGTAGCCTTACACTGGGTGTACTTGCCATATGGCCTTCAGTGCATTCTGAAGCATAACGGGGTAACTAGGAAAAAAGCTCAAACTTGTGCTCTGTGTGGCTGCAGTATGCACCAGCAAAAGCTTCACGTTTGAGTATGATAGAAATATTCATTTAACTTGCTAAGAGTCAGGCACCTGACTGGACACAGGAGCTTATAGGCCACTAGGAAAAGAAAAGTATATGAACTTGTAAGTAGAGTGAAGTGCTGCAGTTAGATCAGGGAAGGAGGGTATGATTTGGAGGGCCAGCAAAGGAAGGGGTGATGGAGAGAGGTACTTATTAGTAAGTGGCTAAATATTCTGGGGAGAGGAACAGCATGGACATAGGCAGGGATCCAGAGGTGAAAAACAGCCTGGTAATTCCCTTGACCTGAGGAGGGTATTTTTGTCTAAAAGTCAGAGTTTGAACTGGGCACCTTTCATAAGTAAGCTCAAAGTTACCGTCAAAGGTAATGTGTCATAGTAGGATTCAAGATTAAACTCCAAATATATTTAAATTGAGCTCTCAGTAAGCATTTTTCAATCAGAAACCAATGATGGCCAGTGAAATCAGACCATCTAGACTATCTTTGTAATGGTATATGCTCTACATGGAGTTTAATCTCTTAAGGAGTTTCAAGAAAACAGATTTTGGGGGCTGCTTCTGTTTTTTTTTTTTTCTTTAAGAATTGTCATCATTCAAGCTGCTCTAAAATTCTTAACATGGCAGAACAATTTTTTAACTTGCATGGCTTTTTCAAGGTTTAGACTTATATTTATATTTATAAAGTTTTCAAGCTTTATATTTAACCTCTCAAAATATCTTTATTGAAGGTTGCCTTTTGACCTAATTTTGAAATAATGATCTGCTCAAACCAGGAGTTGGTAAAATATAGGCCCAAACCAGGAGTTGGTAAAATATAGGTAAAATATGTAAGCACACAGAAGGGAATAGTGTTTGTTATCAAGCTGGGAAGGGAAAATCTAGGAAGACCTGCCACCTGTATTTTTCTATAGTGAAATGCTGAGTAGTAGGGGAGGAGGGAGAGTAACCATCATATTAGGAAAACTTTTGGGAGGAATGTTATCCCTCCTTCCTATGTTAAGTTGGAAGATCTGCCATTTAACAACTGAGGAGAGGGGTGTGAACTGGATGCCAAGGTTTTAAAACATGTTTTTCTTCATGTCTAAACCAAGGATGTTTATTAGCAGACTGATGATGTGACTAACACTCTTTGCTAAGCAGGTTTGAATGGGTTGATCTGACTTAAAACTGTCATATAGCCTTTTTTTTTTTTTCTGGTAGTTTTCTGATTTTTTTCCTTTTAATTCTTTAATTCATAGAAAACATGGTTTATTTACTAACTTTCAAAGACTTAAAATTGATGTTAGTTAGGTGGTCATTTTTTTTTTGGTAAGCCATGTGTAGATACAAAAGAGAAATTCCTTGCCAACTGGTGACACATGCAGATGAAGACAGAGTGGGAGATACACTTCCGGTTCAGGATGATACTTCTGAGCAGTTCGTATTTAACTCTTTAGGGAAGCATTTGTGTTTAGAACCCTAGTAAGACATTAGGGCCACACCAGAGACTAACTGCAGATAGAGCCTGAACTCCACATTGCACAGACATGAAGTTGTTCAGAATTGTGGTTAGAAATTATACTCAAAACAAAGCAAAGACACACTGACAAAGTGGCCCGTCTCCAGAGAGCTGTGTTCCAGAGAGCTTTTCAGCATACACGACAGGGATGGGGCAAACAGGTGCTGATATGTCTCCCACAAACACCTAATCAATGTAAGAATGTGATTTAAAAAATGACATTTATTGTAGCAGCTGTAATGCATCAGGAGTATTGTATTTTTCATAGAGGATCACTGTAATAGTCCCTTGAACTATCTCTAGTCCTTGAAAAAAGTACCAAAAATATCAAAGTACTAAGGAAACCAAATTCACATAGAAACGAATCTTTTCCTTTCTTTTCCCAACCAATTGTTTTGTAATCTCACCATGTGAACGTGAATTTAGGGTGAAATTAGAAACTTTAAAACAATCATCTCTTAGACATTGTGGTTATATTGTCCCTAAATTCAGTGAAAACAGTTTTAGACTTTAGAGTATTAAAAATGTAGAGTATGGAGAGTGGTCAGTGCTCTTGTTCATAAGGGTACTTAAAAAAAACTTGGTACTCTTGAATGTGTACACTGTTTACTCTTTAGAGAGCTTCTTAGAAAACAAGTAGATCTGTTTAGCTTGTGGATTTAAATATTTGACAGTTCATTCTGTGTTTTGAGAGAGAAAAGCATCTAGAAAGTTTAAAATATAATGAATTTATTCTTTTTCATCCCTTTCTGCCCCAAAGCCCCCACACTCTAGGTGTAGCCAGTTCTGGCCTTTGCCTTCGCTGCTCTGGATGCCTCAGATGCTCATCTGTTAGCTGGCTCAAATGTCATATCCACAAAGATTCCCCGGACCCTTCCTTAGGCAGTCGAGCAACCCCTTCCTCTGCTATTCCTCAGCCTTTCCTATGAATGCATGTTATGCATTGAAATCATTCTGTCTTTCAGTGCCACCAGCCTGTGAACTTCTGGAGCTGGACGTGTAGGCTCCTCAGCTTGCAAAACTCTTGGGATGAGTGGTCTCTTAGTTCTTAGTCAATCACTGTTTAATTACATAAGACATCTTAAATTTTGCCCGCCAGAAACTTTAAAGAAACTTCCTGATTAAAAAAAAAAGTACAGTACCTTAAACATTCAGTAGGTGATGCTACTCCTTTTTAATCAGTTTCACACTATTGAGAAGCCTTTGACCAATTTCTTCTATTAAAGAGGATATGAATTCAGATTTTGGCCCAAATTTCTTTTCTTCAGTCCCTCTGTTGCGCAGCAACAGGCTCAGATAGTATTTAGAAGTTTAATAGTACATTAGAAAGATAATTAGAATATTTTTGCAGTGGTTAGGGTCGAAGGAGGCTTAGCTATAAGCAAGGATCTGGTCAATGAAGGATATGAAATTTAATGTGAATTTGGAAGAAAATTTCGTTTAAATAACAAGTATTTTTAAAGTATTATACTAACTGGTACTTGTCAGTATTGACTGCCTTGTTCTTAAGGTAAGGGAAAGCTTCAAGAAAAACATGATTCTAGTCCTAGTTGTCTCAGTTTCTTCAGCTTTAGAATGGCATCTAAAGGTGATTGCACCATATTTCATTATCACCTCGCTGAACTGTTTGCTATTTAGTCCAGTACTAGGTACTGAGGCAGCAAGGTTTTTAGTTCAAGCAGCCTCTCAGCATTTGCCGGCTTGAGCATTGGGGACCCCGAACGGGCCTGGATTCGCTGTCCCTTTTTACATTACACACATAGCTCTATCACAAAAATAAACCTTGTAACTATTTCACCCTACCCCTACCCCTGCTTTCCCAGCTGGAGAGGTTGGCACTGTTCTCTGGAGCAGCCCACCTGTCACTGCTGTACACCTCAGTGTCATTAATATGTTGCAGCTGATACCTCCCTCTTTAAAACAGAATGGTTGTCACCTTGGTGACTCACAGGGCTTGCCAGCTCAGCCTTTGGAATCCTACATCTGTCTCAAATCTTGAGTCTCCCACCTGGCCACACTTTCTTTGCTCTGTTTGTAGTTAATTAAGTTGGCATTAATCAAA